AAAAACACATTTTTTTAACCATGAAGCAAAGAAAGCCATATCATATTAAAATCAAATAGTCAAAATACAACTTATTTAATTACTTTCAAAATACATTGAAAGATAATATTTCTATCTCTTTGTGTCTATCACACACAGAAGCATTTAATATATATCTCTCTCTCTCAAATCATCACATACTCATTATTATTCAAATAAGATAATTTCTTGAGTTGAGCAAAATTTCTTCGTCTCATATTCGAAACATGAAAATAGAAGAAGAAAGTTTGGCACAGGTGGATGAAGATGGAAGACATATATTTTTTTTTGCAATCTCAAAGTAGAAATCCAAAGAAGTTTTTGGGTGAAATAGAAGCAGAAAAGGTTGGTAAGGAAGAAGAAAAAGGAAATTGTGTTGAAGAGATAAGGACGGAAAAGTTGATCGGATGTGTGGTGAGAAATGATGGGAACAAATTAATTCATTTGACAAACCATTTTGGTTCAAATTTTAGTTAAATCGGAACATGAAAACCCTAATGCAAAGGGACTGGTATGAAGTAAAGGTGGAATTTAAGTAAAGAAATGCTTTGGATCAAACCATAGAAGACAAGTAGTTGAGAAAAATAGAAAATGGACCATGGATAACCCCAAAATGGACAACTGATATCAACGAGCAGGGGTAAACTAGTCATTTCCAAAACCACCAATCTTCTTATATTATAGATATACCACAGTAATTTCATCAAATATCACCAATTTTGTCCCTTTACAATGATCACATACATATTCAAAATACCTATACCATTTTCAAATTGTCTAAAAAACATTTTAAAATCTCAACCTTTCAATAACTCTTAACTATAATGAGTATGTATTGCATCAAATTAATTTTCATCTCAATCAAATTTGTCTTGAATTATATTTTATTTTGTGTTAGATACTTTATTTAATAACGGTTTAATCGTTGTAAAATGTGTTAGATACATTATTTAGTTATAATTTAATTGATAAATATATATTAAAATTTTATTTAAATACGATTTATCTATGATAAAATTTTGAGTTTTGTGTTGTGGTTGATGATGCACATCTTTATCATTGAAATTTTGTTTATGAAGAGATAGATTTCGTATGCGATGTTGGAACAACTGATTCGACAAGTTACACCAGTATGAAAGCAATACTTATACAAGTTGATGGAGTTGAAAATTGATAAATAACATAGAATTGGTAACCCAATTCAGTGAAACCACACCTACGTCTGGAGGGTTGAGTCCAAAACCCAAAGAAAGTAAATTCACTATCATTAGTTTAGTACATTTAGACTTACAAGTAACAACAAACCCATGTTATTCAATGCCTTTTCCTAACACTACCCAATGACTTTCTATTTAGACTCCCCTCTAAATTTGAGAATCTACTCACTTTCTTCTCTATCACACAACCCGTGATAGGAGATTACAAGCACTAAACCCCAATGATCAACTTCAATCAACAAGATCAATGATGTTAAATTTTATAACTCAGTTAGACAAACCTTATATGCTAAGTTACTGAAACATAGAGGTGTACATATAGATTCTACACTAATTGTATTATGGCATTAGCATAGAATAGAAGACACAAAACCTAGAACTATAAAAATCTTCCATGCTTGAATGCTTTAATTCCAAAGCATGTTATGTGTTCCTTATATAGCAATTCTTCTGGGATTTTCTTCATGGATAATTGATTTGATTTTGTCCAAAAATAATGCAGATCCATTCGGATATTTGATTTGTTCCTTGAATATCTCCAACAAAAAGATATGATTTAGTTTGTTACAAATTCGAACTTAAAGCTCTTTAAATTTGATTTGATCTTCACAGCTGTCCAATAAATCATATAAAAAAATTGTTAACTCAATAACAATAAAATCTGATACAATCTTTGATAAGAGAATCTTCTAAAATGTAGCATCCAAGTTCTGATGTGCAAGGCCCATATGTCATAGCATCATATTGGGACATCATTTCTAGTATGTGTCCCTTCTGCAACTCCATACAGCTTAAGCAAGCTAGATCAACTTGAATACTTTGAACACTTCTTCCATGTTATTGTTTTTCTAAAATGCAGTCAATCCAAAGGACCATTTCACAAAGAAATTTAATCCCCCATTTGTCAAATTGTAGCAAAACAACTCTTCAAGATATAACATAGTTGTAGGGGCAATTCTAAGGAGAGAGCATTTTTACCTGGGACACACCTTTGTGAGAGACACACCACTTGTCCATCTAAAACCTTAAGGTGATAGATGAGTGGGTTCTCTCACTTATAAGTGCTCAATCTTCCCTTTTATAATCAATGTGGAACTTCTTCCTCACACTTGATTCTCAACACTCCCTCTCAAGTGTGAGTCACAATGTTCCCCCTCATGTGGAATGACTCTCTTCCACATACACTTGTACCACCGCTTGATACAAGTAAGTCGGTCCCTATCTCGAAATCAAAGGCTCATGATACCACTGTAAGGGCAATTCCGAGGAGAGAGCATTTTTACCTGGGACACACCTTTGTGAGAGACACACCACTTGTCCATCTAAAGGTTTTAGATGGACAAGTGGTGTGTCTCTCACAAAGGTGTGTCCCAGGTAAAAATGTTCTCTCCTCGGAATTGCCCCTACAGTGGTATCATGAGCCTTTGGTTTCGAGATAGGGACCGACTTACTTGTATTAAGCGGTGGTACAAGTGTATGAGGGGGAGCATTGTGACTCACACTTGAGGGGGAGTGTTGAGAATCAAGTGTGAGGAAGAAGTCCCACATTGATTATAAAAAGGGAAGATTGAGCACTTATAAGTGGGAGAACCCACTCATCTATCACCTTAAGGTTTTAGATGGACAAGTGGTGTGTCTCTCACAAAGGTGTGTCCCAAGTAAAATGCTCTCTCCTCGGAATTGCCCCTACAGTGATAGATGAGTGGGTTCTCCCACTTATAAGTGCTCAATCTTCCCTTTTTATAATCAATGTGGGACTTCTTCCTCACACTTGATTCTCAATAATAGTTAGTAGCATACAATCCTACTAACTAACTAACAATTATTAGCATGGAATCATTCACAAACTTAGTCATGCACAACACAAACCATTAGTAGTTAATGATTAGGATATGTAAAATCTACTAACACAAGTATACTAACACAAGTATACTAACACTCATATATGTTTTCACAGATACATGGGCCAGATGTCTTGCTCGATGCTCTAGCATGGAGCACAACATTAGTACTTCCTGAACAGTATGTACTAAACAATCACCAGGTTTACCTGCGCACAACAGATACACCACTTCTCCTTATTACTCCCCCATTTTCCATAATTTGGGAAAACGTTATCTCTTCAAAGAAGTCAACATGCATAAAGGATAACATGCACAAGTTCAGTCATGCAAGGTTAGTGTGTTAGTAGATACAAAACTAGATCATGAGGAAAAATGACTAGATCAATATCAAAATATGCACATCATTATTACATAACATAGTCTTAAAAGGTTATAGAGCCTTTACAAAAAAAAAAGAAATATGCCCAGAATACAAGGGATAAAAAATTTACACATTCAACCACCAAGAGGTCTTCAATCTTCATCCCTGAGTGAATCCATACAATTCTCAAGGTCTTTATCTGATTCAAAATCATTTACATCCAGATTCATTAAGTCCTTCATAATAGCCTCTATTTTATTTATCTTTTTAGGGTTCAGATTCTTGATTAGAATCTTCTTAGAGCATATTCCATCAACCAGTTTAATTGTGATTTGATTCCTAACTTCTTGAGCTTTCTTGGCTTTGTTAAACCACAACTTCAACATATTAATAACCTCCTTTGAAGCCTCAATCTCTTGGACAAGTTTGCTCCCACCAGCTTGATTTTGATTCATGTTAAGGAAAAAATATGTAATCTAAGAGTAGCATAAGGTATGGTGTTTTTTTTTCTTACTATTAACACTAACTCAATTATACCAATCTTGATATAAACCAATGAAACTTCCTTATTTTGTGTGCCAAAGTAGTATTAGGGGAGACAAACACTTTTTCTATTTTGACACAACATCCCAACATTGATTGCTATGGACTCTAAGATATGCAAATACTAAGGGCATACCTTAGTATTTTAAATTAATTTCCATCCAAAGCTTTAGTGATAATGTTCATCATCAATGTAATGACATATTGTCCCATATTATACTCCTTCAACATCTGACTCATCAAGTTCTTTCCATTGCTTCTCGCTGAAGTATATTTAGCTTCACTAGATGACAAAATTACACCAACTTGATCCTTGCTTATCCTAGATATAATGTTATTGACAGGAGGAAGACTTTCATCTAAAGAGCCCTTACTATTATCTACATTATCATCAATGTTACTCATCAAGAGGTTATTCTTATATGTTACACATACATCTTTCAACAGTTGTACCACTTCTTCAAATGTTAAGACTTCTATAACAATTTTCTTTCAAGACTCATTCTTCTGTGATGCAAACATATCCCCTTCAGCATTCTTTCCTCATTAATTGGGGAAACCTTTTTCCATCTAATCTGATCACAGTGACCAAGGAATTTGATTTAGCAACTTGCTCATCCTCCCTCTGATATGGGACCTTAGTTATCACAATATTACTTAGTATTTCTTGGAAATCACATAAGTGTTATAAATAATCAGACTTCGTTATGTGATTACTTTTCTAAAAGGAGACAAACCTTTTGTATTGCTCTCTTTAAAATAAAATACACTTTTGGTCTTTATATAGACCTAATGAATTTTACAATTCTAAAAAGATAACTGCTACTAATAAAACTATCATAACTTACCAACTTTTGTCCTTCCAAATTACATTGGCTCTTAATCTTTCTACTACCATATTTAATATGAAACTTATTACTAATGACATTTAAAGTTTAATCAACAAAACTCCTCTGTAAACTTAAATGTTTCTTCCATCCAGCATTCATATCATCTTCTTGCCTCTGTCGAAGATCTCTTTTGATAGTGGTTTTGTGAAAATATTTGTTGCTTGGTTTTTGCTTGCTACATGCCTTAATTCGACACTTCCCCCCTTCACATGTTCACGAATGAAGTGAAATCGAACATCAATGTGTTTGCTTCGTTCATGATTCACTGGATTCTTTGCCAATTCGATAGCTGATTTATTTTCCACTTGTATTATTGTTGGACTTTCCTCATCTTTCTTATCAACCTTCTGAGCCATACTGCATGACAGACGCACCAGGATGCTGCCACATATTCAGCTTCACACGTCGAAAGTGTTACTATAGGTTGCTTCTTCGATAGCCAAGTAAATGTTGTGTTTCCCATGAAAAAACATATCCAGAGGTGCTCTTTCGATCATCTATGTCTCCGCACCAGTCACTGTCAGAATAACCAACTAACTTGTAGTCTTCTGTTTTTTAATAAAGCATTCCCAGTGATACTGTTCCTTGGATGTATCTTAGAATTCGTTTCAGCGTCTTCCAATGTGTGTGTACTGACTCCTCCATGAATCGACTTAGCACGCCAACACTTAGTGAAATGTCTGGCCTTGTGCATGTGAGATATCGAAGGCTACCTACCAAGCTTCAATATTTGCTTTCTTCAACCCGTTCTCCTCCATCAAACTTTGACAGTTTTGTACCTGGTTCCATTGGCGTCGAAGTTGGATTGCAATTCTTCATTTTATATTTTTCTAGGATTTCTTTTGCATATTTTTCTTGTGAGATAAAGAGTCCAGCTTCTTCTTGTCGAGCCTCCAGACCAAGAAAGAATCTCATCATACCTAAGTCTGTCATTTTGAATTCGCTTGTCATGGTGCTCTTGAAATCTTCGATCATCTGAACATCACTGCCTAGAAATATAAGGTCATCAACATAGAGAGCAACAAGTAATAAATTACTTCCATTTTTCTTCACATAGAGGGAGGGTTCATAAGGACATTGCTCTAACTCATTCTCTTTGAAATATGTGTCAATACGTGTGTTCCATGCCCTAGGTGCTTGCTTCAGCCCATACAGCGATTTCTTCAGTTTCAACACCTTCTTCTCTTCTCCAATTCTCATATATCCAAGTGGTTGTTCGACATAGATTTCTTCTTCGATCACACCATTCAAAAATGCTGTCTTGACATCCATTTGAAATATTGGCCATTTGAATTGAGGAGCTTGAGAAATGAGTAATCGAATTGTCTCCATTCTTGCAACAGGCGCAAACACTTCGTCATAGTCAATTCCTGCTTTTTGTTTGTATCCCTTCGCAACCAGTCGTACTTTGAATCTTTCGATTTCTCCTTGAGCATTCATCTTTTTCTTGAATACCCACTTTACACCAATGGGTTGACTACATTTTGGAAATTCGACTAGCTCCCAAGTATTGTTGCGTTCGATTGCTCTAATCTCTTCGTCCATGGCACTTTTCCACTTCTTGTCTCGTAACGCTTCTTCGACACTGATGTTTTCAGCATCTTCCAGAAGACACACAAGATGCACCTCACTTGTTGAATCATACAAATCTTGCAAAGTTCTCATTTTTGGTTGTAGAGGTTCATCTTCATCTTCAGTTTCTTCATGTTTTGTTGGAATACCTGTTGGTACAGCTACAGTTGTTTCTTCGACTGCATCAATAACCTCTGTCAAATTGTTTCAGTCTCACTTGCTTTCTTCGTTCATTCGAACGTCTCTACTCACGATCACTTTCTTACTTATGGGGTCGAAGAGCTTGTACCCTTTCGTCTTCTCATCATATCCAATGAATATGTACTTCTGACTTTTGTCTTCAAGCTTTGTTCTTCATTGATCTGGTACATGTGCATAAGCTATACTACCAAATACCTTGAGATGAGAAACTGTTGGCTTCTGTCCACTCCATGCTTCTTGTGGTGTTTTGTCTTCTAACTTCGAATGTGGACATCTATTCTGAATATAAACAGCACATTGTACTGCTTCTTCCCAAAATTCTTTCGACATGTTCTTGCTTTTGAGCATTGATCGAATCATGTCAAGAATAGTCTGATTTTTCCTTTCAGCCACACCATTTTGTTGAGGTGAATATGGTGCAGTTAGGAATCTCCTTATGCCTTGTTCTTCACAGTACTTCACAAAGGCCATTGAAGTATACTCACCTCCTCTGTCAGATCGAATTGCTTTGATGTGTCTGTCTGTTGCCTTCTCCACCATTACTTTGAACTTTTTGAACACTTCTAATGCTTCAGATTTTTCTTTCAGGAAGTAAACCCAGGTTTTTCTTGAGAAGTCATCAATAAAAGATATGAAGTACCTTTTTCCACTGAAGGATTCTGGAGTGATTGGCCCACATATGTTAGTATGTATCAATTTGATAATATGTTTAGCTTGATACTCTGCCTTCCTTTGAAAGGAGGTTCTTGTTTGTTTGCTGAGCACACATTCTTCACAGAATTTTCCTTCGAAATCCATGTCTGATAGTCCATGCACCATGTTCCTTTTCGCCAACCTTCTTAAACCAGCAGGATGTAGATGACCAAAGCGCATATGCCATAGTGACGCTTTGTTTTGCACTTCAATTTGCAGACATTTCTCTCGAATGTTCCTCAGGTTCAGTTTGTACATTCGATTTCTTTCCATTTCGACATTGGCTATCACATGTCCTACTTTGTCCTTCAAATGCAGTGTTCGATCTTTCATAAGTATCGAAGCACCTTTTTCTGTAAGTTGTCCCATACTTGATATGTTGGTCTTGAGATCTGGTACATAGTAAACGTCTTCGATTGATCCAATCAAGCCATCCTTTTGCAAGTAACTGATTGTGCCCTTTCCTTCGACCTTCACTTTCGATGCATCTCCAAAAGACACATTACCATCTTCAATTATCTTCATATCTTTAAACAGGTGTTTGTAACCACACATGTGATTACTTGCTCATGAGTCAAGATACCAAACATTGTCATTATTGGTGTTGATTTCTTTTGAGCCATCAGGAGAAAGCCTTCATTTGATTCAGCTTCCAAGGCTAGGTTGGTTGTTTCTTCAATCTTCTTTTCGATTCGACAGTCTTTTGCAAGATGTCCCACTTTGTCACAGTTGTAACATTTGTAGGAGTTGCAATCCTTCGCGTAATGACCATACTTCCCACACTTGTAGCATTCGAAGTTGGAATGATTCGAACGACCACCTCTTTGACCACGTCCTCTGCCACGCCAATTTTGTTGGATCGATTGTCCTCTTTCGAAGTTGCTACCTCTACCACTTCGACCACTGTCACGACCTCCACGTCCACGTCCTCTTCCTCGAAAGTTGTGAGGAAAGAGTACCTTTTCGCCTTTGTTCGATTCCTTGGTTTGATTTGCTTCTTCGACTGCTTCTTCTTTCTTTTTCATCTTTCGTTGTTCATGTGCTTCGAGAGAACCAGCGAGCTCTTCGACTGAGAGCGTCGAAAGGTCCTTCGACTCTTCTATTTCACACACAATATTCTGAAACTTGTTTGTTAAAGATCTCAAGATCTTTTCAACAACTCGTGCATCAGTTACTGTCTCTCCATTTCTGGTGAGTTGATTCACCACCTTTTGCACATGTGTGATGTAGTCAGATACAATTTATGTATCCTTCATTTGTATCCTCTCCAATTCTCCACGAAGAATTTGGAGTCGAACTTGCTTCACTCGATCTGCTCCTTTGAACACTTTTTCTAACGTGTCCCACGCTTGTTTCGACGTAGTCGAACCAGCAATTTTTTCGAAGCCTGATTCATCTACAGCCTTGAACAACATGTATAATGCCATTTTGTCCTTCGATCGCGTCTCTTTCAACGCCTTCGTTTGAGCTGCCGTATATCCCCCAACTTCTGTTGGTTCTTCAAACCCTTCATGGGTCACATCCCACGCGTCTAGAGATCCAAGAAGAGCTTTCATTTGGATACTCCAGTTTTCATAATTTGACTTCGTTAGCCGTGGCAACGACATTTGATTCATCATGTTTGCCATGAGCTCTGATGTCAAATTGTTATAAATAATCAGACTTTATTATGTGATTACTTTTCTAAAAGGAGACAAACCTTTTGTATTGCTCTCTTTAAAATAAAATACACTCTTGGTCTTTATATAGACCCAATGACTTTTACAATTCTAAAAAGATAACTGCTACTAATAAAACTATCATAACTTACCAACTTTTGTCCTTCCAAATTACATTGGCTCTTAATCTTTCTACTACCATATTTAATATGAAATTTATTACTAATGTCATTTAAAGTTTAATCAACAATAAGAACCCATTTGTCTGATTCTCTAGACAAATAAAATAGTAGATTGTATCTTTAATCATGCTCACTTCAGATTTAAACTGCATTTGATAGACAACATGCTCTAACATCTTGATTGACATTCTACCTAATTCAATGTCTTCTCTATGAATGAGAATTAACATATTCTCATTGTCTTCCATATGATCATTCTTCAAATTGTTTACATCCATACTGACATAGCTGATATCTTCCAGCATCTAATCACTTTCTTCAATTGTTAGAGCTTATTTTGGAGTCTCTCTTTCAGTATCTATCCTCCCTAAATCATTTCTCTTCAACATATGTATGTAGGGATCAGTATCTTTAGTACTTTGTACAAACTCAACATGAACTCTATTATTCATAAAAATATATTCTTCATGAGCATTGACACCATTATCAATGTTGTCGTTCATCTTCACCACATGATCCTTTATGTTGGCACAAGGAAGGTCTTTCGTTTCTACGTTTAAGTACCTATTAAGAAATGTACTATTCTCATCCATCAACCTAATGAAATCAACACTTTCATTAATTTGGGTAGTCATATCATTTGAAATCAATATATACTTATTGCCATTCGAAGTACAATAGCTTTCATTCACATCTTCACCTAGAGTCTTTGCATGTTCATGGTTGTTAACAACACCATCATTAGCTCTAGAAGTATCAACATCGGCATCTTCATGTACATGATCTTCATTCTCCTTATGCACTTGAGGTTTTGTCATCATGACATACTATATGTGCCACATCCTTATCATTATCGGGATTTCTCATGTTTGTTCCATGGGGATATTCATCATGATGATATCTCATAGACCCAAACCTGATTTGAACATTATTCATGTCTCCAATCTTGCAGCCAGACTTTAATCCACCACTTCTAGATTTATTAACCAATCTTGAGTCATAACCACTCTTCTTTTTTGGCTTCTTATTATGAACTAAAGTATGTTGTTTAAAGTTGAGAGGACCTCCAGACTGGCCATTAACCTTCCCTACAATGATACCTTCTTGCTTAAGTCTAAAATTATTCTTAAGAGATGATTGAGACTCCTATAACAAATGTTGGGGTATCTGTTTTGCCATACTGGTTGGCCTTTCCTCTTCATACATATAAGCTTTATCAATCTTTAGGTCTTGTAAACTCTTGACGTCTTCCTGAGATATGACCTTCTTCATAATAACTCACTTGCGCTTGTTGGTTACACCACCCTTGAAGTTGTTAAAGTTCATATTCCTCTTTTGGTTCACATTTATTTAAGTCCTTTCTCATTTAAATCTCTTCTTGACCAGGGTTACACCATTTTTTGAGCCATTGCTTTTTTTCTTTGATCTATTGCCAGAAGTGACATAAGCAGTCTTTTCTTTAGACATGTGCCAGGTACCCTTATCATTACAATTCCATTCTTTACTTGATGAGCCTCTGTGTATTATATGAGCTAATGAGTCAATAGTCTTAGCATTGTGTTTTCTCTTCTTCATGGTTTCCTTAATCTTCAGTAGTTCGTAACAATACGGCGTTGTATGTCCATATTTCCTACAATGGTGACATATCACAAGTTGTTTCTTGAGAGGAGTTTATCCAAAAGGTTGGATAAGGGCATGTGTTACATTGATTAGAGGCTGCATTTTCTTGAGTCTTTGATAAAAAAATTGAGTAGGACATGGTCATATAATAACCATTTCCTCCTTAGATATGGAAGACAAACAATTTCTAAAGGAGTGAGACCTTTTAGATTCGAGGAACCATGGATCAATTATTCATGTTACCAAGATGTCGTGAAGACTTCTTGAGATTAACCTCATGTTTGCTCGCTCACTGTTCTAGATGGAGTTAGAGGTGATTCTTTCATTTTTAATAAGGAGGTGTTTAGGAACATATTTAAGAGGGAGTCACAGAGTAATGAAGAGTGAGGAATCATAAAGACGTACCTTGTTGGAAAAGTAACTTCAAAATGAGCTTGACCAAATTCTTCTTTAAGAAAAGGTAATGGGGTACCAGAAATGCAGGGATTAATGGTTGTAGTTTGGTGAGAAGAACACTAAATTATTTCATGCTTAAACTATGGTTAGAAGAAAAAGGAATAAGTTACATGGCCTGCATATATTAGGTGACATTTGGTGCACTGATGATTAAGTGTTGCGAACTAAGGCCAACACTTTCATCAAGAATCTATTTTATGCAAAACTTCTTCACAAGGCCAATTTATTGTGAATCATGTACCTACGTGGAGGATGCGTAAAAGGAAGAGTTAGCTAAGCTTGTTATAGATGAGGAAATCATGATGGAACTGAATCACACGTGTCCTTATCAGGCTTCATGGTTTGATGGATTTCAAGGCATTTCTTCTGGTAATATTGTCACATCATTGGTCAGGACATATGTTTACTAGTCAAATTAGCTTTTGCCACTGGCTTATAGCTAGCATTTTTCAAAACTTCAGTGTTACATTAGGATTAAAAATTAATTGCGTTCCTGTTACAGGAGTTAGTTACCTCATTTGCAATTACATTGCTACTTCTATATCTCGGTTGTAATCTAATGGCGTATGTATCAAACAACAAGCTTATTATATATTCATCATATTCCAAAATTTACAGGAATTGATGGCGTGGGATTGGGACTTGTTTCACATCATCACAAACTCGGAAGGTTATTTGATTTGTGGTGCTTGCATATTCCACTTGCCGATCGAACACCCTTTACAGGTAGGTCCTTTTTCCTTGTATAGTGCTCATGTTAACTCTCTTAAAGTATGTTTCTTTCTCAGTAGTGTATTCTATCATAATTTATTTCCTGTTGCAGACCTTGTGAAATTAGTTGAGACAACAGTTAGGTTAGAGTCTCAACGTTCGCCAAATAGGCCCATTTATCTTCTTGGAGAATCGTTAGGTGGCTGCCTTGCACTGGCTGTTGCCGCTCGTAACCCTCATATTGATCTTGTACTAATTTTGGGCAACCCAGGTAGGTAACTTTTTACCTTTTACTCATATAGATAACAGTTAATACCTTTCCTTTTATTGTTTATAAGAAGCTAAATTAAAAATACTCAGTTTAAGGAAGGAATCTGCAGTTTAAGAATCATAACCATGACTAAGCTGAGAGTTGGACTTTAAGGAAGGTAGAATTAGACGATTTTCCTCATTCAAATTTTTCTTATGGAGAAGTATATGTGGATCAAGTGTTTCATTGGTTAGATAAAACTTGGTTGGTGTCATTTAACTTCAACAAAGAATCTTTCATTACAACACATATACCTTTCTATGTATATCAGAGCAATAACTTGTCAACATTTGCTCATGTTTTTTCTACTGACAACAAATGTTTAATAAATATATCTCGCCTTGCACTGACTTGGGAGTTTAAAGCTTGGAATTTGGGTCACATTGGTATTAGTTAGCACAATTATATCATACTTCTCATGCTTCCCAACAATGAAAATTTGGTGTTATGGATATGTTAATGGCAAGTCTGATGATTGACGCAGCCAAGCTTTAGCCTAGACTAATATGTCGTTAGTGTTTTCAGAGTGATGCCATTTATTGGAAATGGTTCAGTGAAAATGCATTTCATAGCTAGAGCTTTGAGTGAATATTCTTGAATATTATCCAAGTTGGTTTTGCTGTAACAGCAAATCAGTTAAAGAATCACAAAGTACCTGATCTGACCATGACCTTCCTATTTGGCAGCTACCTCTTTCGGTAGGTCCCATGTGCAACTTCTAACATCATTGTTGGACGCTTTGCCTGCCACACACTTTCCTGCTCTGCCTAACATTCTCAGTTTGACTGCAGGTTTGCTCATCTTTCTTTGCTGTTTTTTAATAACTTGTATTCCGTCTTTATCTTTTACCAAAGAAAATGATACTTTTCTCTATTTATGACTTCAACTTTTCTTTTAACATTAGGAGACATTCTGAGGACGTTGTTCGATAACGCTGTGAAAGGACTTCCACTACTAAATGCAGCAAGAGAGCCACTAGGCGACTTTGATACTTTTGCATCATCTTTTCCTGTAAGATTCTATTATTGTTTTTATTAAAAAAATTAAATAAAAAAATTTCAATTAGGAGAGCAGTGTGTGACTTTTTCTTTATGCTTAGAATATTTGCAGCATGTTGTGTGAGTAATAATGAGTTAATTCTTAGGAAGCATTCAATTCAGTTTTTTTTTTGTAAGCTATTTATATAGCAGTATTTCATTCTAATAAATAAGACAGTTACCAGATTTGCTAACATCTGGTATCAGAGCGAGAAAGACCTCAAAAGTGTGAGGGATCCAAAAGTGTGAGAGTACCACAAAATAGAGTGTTTGGGGTATGAGATCCGAAGAGAAGAATGGTGGATTTTCTGTACCCTCCATTCCCAGATTCGATGGAGATTACGATCATTGGAAGATGGTCATGGAAAATCTCTTGAGATCCAGAGAATATTGGCCCGTGGTGGATAACGGTTACATGTTGCCCAAAGAAGGAGAAGTGCAGACAGATACGCAAAGGAAGACCCTGGATGATTTGAAACTTAAGGATTTGAAGGCGAAGAATTATTTGTTCCAATCCTTGGACAAATCAATTCTGAGAACCATCACCAAGAAGGACACTTCCAAGCAGTTGTGGGACTCCATGAAGATGAAGTACCAAGGAAATGATCGGGTTCGACGTGCTCAGCTCAATCGACTCCGACGAGAATTCGAGGTGTTGGCTATGAAACAAGGGGAGTCAGTCAATGACTACTTTGGAAGGGTGATGACCATAGCCAATGACATGCGAAATTGCGGTGAAGACATGACAGATGTCAAAATCGTAGAGAAAATTTTGCGAACACTGACGGAGAAATGGAATTACATTGTGTGTTCCATTGAGGAAGCTAATGATGTTGATGAGCTCACAGTTGATGCCTTGCAAAGTTCCCTCTTGGTCCATGAACAAAAGTTCAAGAGGGAACCAGATGAAGAACAAGCACTGGCGGTTTCTTATGGTAACACCGGTGGTCGAGGACGAGGGAGAAACAACTTCAGAGGAGGAAGAGGTCATGGACGAGGCCGTCAAAGCTACAATAAAGCAACAATTGAATGTTACAAATGCCACCGATTAGGGCATTTTCAATATGAATGCCCTAATCTCGAGAAGACGGTTAATTATGCTGAGATGAGCAAGGATGAAGAGATGCTTCTTATGGCTTATATTGAAGCATCAGGGGAAAAAGGAGAGACTGCATGGTTCTTAGACAGCGGGTGCAGCAACCACATGAGCGGAGACATCTCTCTCTTTTGTACCATGGAGGAAGGGTTCAAAAGAGAAGTCAGTCTAGGGAACCATATGAGGATGAAGGTTGTGGGCAAAGGGAGTGTTAGGTTAAATATTGGCGGTGTTTGTTATGTTGTTCAAGAAGTGTTCTATATTCCAGAATTGAAGAACAATTTACTAAGTATCGGACAGTTGCAGGAGAAAGGCTTGGCCTTTCTAATCAAGAACAATGAGTGCAGAATCTATCATCCATTAAAGGGCCTTATCCTTGAAAGCAGAATGACACTCAACAGAATATTCATATTGCTCTCGAAGACCTCCTCGGCTACCAATGAGTCAGGTGAATGCTGCTTCCAAACTGACATCCAAGAAATTGCTCATCTATGGCACTGCAGGTATGGCCACCTTAGCTATACTGGACTTCAAACTTTGACAAGCAACAACATGGTTAAAGGCTTTCCAAATCTTGGAGAAATCATTGCT